TTCAATTCACACTTTAAATTAATACTTTTTTTTTTTCTAAATAATCTTGATTATCATAAATAAAAGGAAAAAGGTAAAGTTTTCTATTAATATTTTAGAAGTAATATGCTTCATATTTTACAAAAAACATTGATAAAAAAAGATATAATATATTTTAAAAAAACTCCCTTCATTCTTTTTTGATAAATCTCGTGTGTAAAATTACGCTTCATTTTGGTTTCAACTTTCACTTCGGTTAAAAACATAGGTTTAAATTTGAACCAGAGATACATCTAAAGCATTTAGAAAATGAAATGGAACTCCTTCAACACTAGTTACTATCGAAGTAGCAACACCACCTTTCGACCAACGTTAACTAATCCAACAGTAGAATCAGTCATGTATAGTTCACATGTTGTTGTATTGAACTTCAAGCCCAACGGTCTACTGCAATATTGTTTGGCAGTGAGTCATTTAATCCATAATATTATCCTACAATTTACGATAAATTTTGTAAAAATAAAAAAAGTGTACTTTATATATATGTTACTTTGTTACGTGTAGATTAATCCACATGTTTCAAATATAGCACATTAATCAAGTTGTTCAATGTACTATTAATCCTCAATATTAATTTCAATCTTATTTCGTAAAAATAATTTTACTTGTTGATTAAGATGCATAACGTATATAATTAATTTGAGTATAAAACTAAAACTTAAAATTGCGAGTATGGATCATGAATAGGACTGAACAATATAATCGAGTAGCTAAAAACTATGGAATAACATGAAATTGAAACCCTAAAACATCCCAAATAGCTGTTCATATGTTGGGAGTGATTCCCTTTAATGGTAGGGTGTCCTAAGGAGACAACGGAACAAAAGCTCAAGTCTTTTTTCCCACGCAATTTAGGGCCACTTATCAGGTGGTTTATTGCTTTTGTTTGTCTATATTGATATGCCAATGTGTGCTAAAATGGTTTGTTCCAATATAGATATCTAACTAGTTTTTGGTTCGAACAATGCCCCGAATCATTATATGTATATTATAAATGAGCTTTTATAATAAAAATTATGTGATAAAACATAAATATAGATTAAATTAGTTAAATTTACTTTAGTACTCATACTATTTAAATATATATTTCCAATCATTATTGAACATCAAAATATATTATCTTATATCTAGTATCTGAAATTATTAATTTGCTTCGTTCGACTTCAAGTGTATGAATATGATTAACTCTTTTTAATAAAACATAGTAGACATGAAATGTGCTATTAGAGTAATGGTTGAAGTTAAAGTATAATATGCTTAAGGTCACAGGCTCGAATGTTAATGATAACAATTCATTATTTTTGTTTAATGAATTATAGTAATCGTATGATACGACGCCACATCATCTATCTAGTCATGATGACACGTGTCGGGCTCATGTCTTCTCATTGAGTTTTTATATATATATATATATATATAGATTAGTGGGCAATATTTATGACAAATGGGTGAGTAGCAACCCATGATACCTTATATCAATGGCAAATATACTAATTGGTATCAAAAATGAATTGAAAAAACGATTACTAGTATATGTGTCACGCGTAACCTTACCCTAAAACAGTAATAACATACATCATATTATTTGGGCCAGTTACAAATATACTGTTAATACATGACAAATTGTTTTACTATTTAGAAATAAAATATGAATTAGACATTGCATCTAACCATTTCAAATATTCATTACCTATGTTTTCCTATTCCACTTAAATAAGTTGGATATCATGGTAATGAAACTTCATCCACATACAAGTGAATTTTCTTCGTGAATCTCCATTACCACTCATCAATACCACCTTACAAATGGTAATGGCGAAATTTTATGAGGAACATGAGGGCTTAGAGATGACCTCACATACCACTTGGTAATGATATGCTTTACAAAGTATTTCACATATTTGCACATTGATTTAACATTTTCGTGATTTATAATTGTTCATCAAACGTGTCGTTAGGTTTTCACTTATTTGCTAATTTTCTTAATGACAACTTAAGTTTTGAGACAAAATAACTCTTACGACTTTATAATCTCGAACAATTGTGCCTTTACTTTATATTTATCATAGAATTTTGTTTTTATTTCTATTAAAGTAATGTTCAAATCAGAACATACAAGACAGAGAATATGCTTCTTCATATATGTATAGCCAAAAAGAAAAATGAACATTTCATGTGTAAATACTATAATATATACGAGGATCATCATTTAAGCTACACACTAGTTTTCAATGATAAAGAATATTTAAGGCTATGGAAAGGTATTTCGTTGCACACTTGCACATTAGTGAAGATTTTGTGGGATAATATATTTTTTTTCACCTAAATTTGTATTATTAGATTAGTGTCTGTGCGATGCACGGTAATAATAATCTTTTTTCATAAAATTTGTAATATAATATAAAAATGAGGCAACTCAAGTGGAATAAACAAATGCAATGCATATAAGAAAGATGAAATAATAAGGCAAAAATTATTACAACTACAGTTGAAAAATAATATTATTGTTGATTAGTTGTGTTGAAAATATTTAAAAAACAGTATACACTATGACTATATTACATTTATGAGTTATTCCCAATAAAACTATACAATGTAGATATCGTACGTCTTTTCATTAATGAATTAAATTAGTTATAAAAATAAATAAAAAAACCTATACAATATACTTCCAAAAATAAGCTAAGTAGAATAATTTTTTTTTAAAAAAACTTAAAGCTAACATCATGTATTGTATTGGCAGAAATATTTTAATGATAGCGTCCAAAATGATCAATGTAAGCATGACCTGTTTTAATAATAGTTAATAGATTTTTCGATGGAAAAAAAAAAGTTATATGTTGATAAATTTATTACAGAAAACTAACTCAATTGTATTGGTTCATAAGATTTCAAATCAACACCATGAATATAAATGTTTTTTTTTTCATTGAACCTCACTATTATATAACTATATATATAATGGTAATTTAAATATTAATATTGTATTTTTGGCTCCGTTATTTTATACTCTTCACCAGTCCACCATATTTCAACCTTCTAAATTATAGCTTATTTTCCCTTAATTAAATTAAAAAGTCTCAAAATCTTGTGTAACTATTTTAAGTAAATAGAACACGAAATAAAAGGAATACAATTATTATAAAGATAATATATAAGATTAAGAATAATATTATTATACTTGTATCATACAAATATTCCAAAATTGAAAGATTTTTGCTAAACATGGAGGGGGGAGTTTTGGAGGGAAAAAAACAACACAAGTAAGTGACACATGTCATTCCTGATGTTTGTTTTAGTATTATATTAGTGTATACTCAAACATTTCAACGTAACTGCAATAACGGTCTAGCGAGTATAAAATCTAAATTGTTTTTTTTCATATAACTAGTTGCTCAAGTAGGTATAATTTCTAATAAATAATACGGAGTAGTATATGTTTTATGTTGCACTGACCAATTTACTTACCTAAAATTACAAATTATATATTCTACCCCAATATCTTTTTCCCTAATTAAGCTTGAACTATTACACTACATAGTCATACAACTAAATAAACCAATAAAATCTAATGCATAAATATTTAGATATTGGTATTGATCGATAATTTTCATATGAATCAAAGATAAATGTTAGTCATAATTCATCTTATAAACAATTAAACATGTAATTTATTCTTATTATTATTATTAATCACATGGCATAAGAATCATAATGTATATAATACGTGTAGAGGTATACAAATTATAAAATTGTGAGCATTAATATTTTGTAAGGAATTGTTTATGAAAACTTTGTGATTATCAAAATGAAAATATTCTTCACATTATTAAGGTTTTTGCGACCACATCTAATGGTCACTGAAGATAGCAAAAATGGTCGCTGAAAATAATTGCGACCAATCAACGGCCATAATGTGGTGGTTGTTATTCACTTGGTTGCAAAAAAAAAAAAAAAATAAATAAATAAATTATTACGACTGGCTTACGATCGCAAAAGGATTATTTCATTTTAGAATTATTTTTAATTATTTAAAAGGCCAAAAATGGTCGTAAAACAGTCGCAAATCTGCGACCGCTTTCAAAAGAGTTGTAAATTTGTAATATTGCGGCCGCGTAAAAAACGGTCGTAGATTTCATATTTTGCGACCTTTTTTCGAAACGGTCGCAATTTAACCGAATTCTACTTGTAGTGTAACTAATAGAATTCGGTTAATAATAGCATAATAAGATCATATAAATATTAAGTTTAATACAATTTGATATTTTTCTCATGAATTATTTGTGAAAGTGTTAAATTATTTATGTTTAACGTAAAAAAGATATGTGTGAATTGTAAACTTAAAGTGTTATATTTCATAAAATGTTTATTGAACCTTTTAATTATATTATATTTTTCTGACATTGCTGCATGTACTCAATTTTTAGGTACAAATCTTGTGAATTACTCATGATTATATTTAATAAAAAAAAAAAAGTACCGATGTAATTTTGTAGTTTTATGCACTATTAGTGAATGTAAATATCAATATCAATTATATTCTCAAGCAAGCAGATCCTATAGTAAATTTTGTGTAAATTAGTTAAAGTTTGTCTTTTGAAATAATAATACCTTTTAAAATATAACAAAGGTGACCTGTATATACATCAAATATATAATTGAGATCTTTAATTAGATATTTATGTTAAGTAACCTAAATATATTCGTATAATTTTTAGTCAAGGATTTTCTAATTGGTGAATATATCGTAAATCTTATATATAATCAATCAAGCATATTTTTGTAAGAAAATAATAATAATATTTTTTTTTTTTTTTTTTTTTTGAAAAAGTTTGAGGGAAATAACCAGCACCAGAAAGTAACATGTGTCATTCCTCGTATATGTTTTAGTATTATTGATTATCGATTATTGATTGACAATCATCCCATTTTTTAAGTTAAATCCTCATTTAAGGAGAAGATATCACGCACAAGAAAGGCTCACATAATGATGACAAAAAAATGTAACACAAATAACTTAAGACTAAGGTACTTAGAGCAATGCTACAACACAAGATTACCTAGGACTACAGGTATACATGGACTAGAGAGTACAAACAGCGAGCACAAGTCAGAAAAGGCTATAATATAACCACCACCAAGGGATGGCTTCATCACGGTGTTGCTTAGGCTACTTGTTTTTCTTGTAAAGAATTAGGATCAATATCCTTTAACTTAAGCTAGCAAACATGATGCAGAATTGCAGAAGAGGCATACTCGATATTGTAGTAGACGATTCGGAGTTGAACATAATAGGTTCGACTTTTGCCATAGGATTGCTAAAAAATAAGCTACCACAAGTCCACAACCTCCAAACTGAGTAAAGTTCCAGAAAATGCCCTGCTAGGTTGAGAAATAACTTTTAACCTGCCCATACAGAAAAATGTCTGCAATTTTTAGGTTTGACATTTTTACATAAATGAAATTGCATAGAATATAGTGTTTAGGGCACAAAAGCCAAGATGATACAAAGGATAACATAAATAAGATGATGCGAGAAACTCCCAAGAGAAATTTATTGATGTTGGGAATCTGGGATTGAAATCTTGCAAATGAGTGGTTAACAGAAAGTGGTCATTGAAACAGCTTATAGAATTTAAGAAAGCAAGACACTCTAGCAATTTCTTTCTCTGTTCTTTGAATAAGATTTAGAATAAGTGATAAGCAAGTAAAATATTCAATTAACGCGTTGCTTTAAATCAGCCAGATTAGGTGACGGTCTTATGAGTAAAGCAACATTGATTTATTGGCACTGTACCCTTCACATCATTCAACAAGGCAACTTTGTGTTGTGTGATGCTTAGTAATTGTTAAAACTCTCCATGCATAAAAAAGGACTAGTATCTATACTCTACAGGGTACAAATAACTTCAAGAGAGTGAACATCTTCTTAATTGCTAGTTCTTAGTTCTAACATGCCTAAGCTCTGAAAACTATATTAGGGTTTCAATGGATCAAGAATTCAAGTAAAATCTCAGTTGCTGGGACCTACTAGTCAATTCTACCATTGAAAGCAAGTTCCTTTCTAAAGTTTTGACAGTTTTTCCAGATAGTGGGCCTAGTGGAAGTGGTAACGCATGGTCTAGGACATTTTTTATGAATACACAAAACAGAATTTTGAGACAAAATTCAAACTACTATGATGCCTATGATAAGTTTCAGTCCAGTAATAAGTGCAAGTCTCCAAAAGTAGCCGACATTAAACACATAACCATGGAGATTGACAATAGAAATTTTGGTTCTTAACTTTTTGAGGCCCATATTTTATTTTCTATGAGACAATACCTAATAGGGGGTAAGTGCCCAGATCAATTAATCACCCTCGAGAGCGAATTCCAAGCATAAGGAGGGAAGGCCGGAAAGACCAAGAACTGACCGGGAGTTCAGGCAAAGAAGATTAAGTCTTACCATGAGCTAAAAAGACATAACAAAGTACAAAACCATGCAGATTGTACCTGAAATCCACGATGACAATTACAAGCTAAATTGAGTCCCAAAACTCAAAGCATGGCACTCCAGGTTTCTCAAATTAAGCTGCCAAAAAAGAAAAAGGCATTACTGCTGCAACACCTGTAAAGAGAATGCCATATATATTCTAGAACAATTATGCAGATGTATATATATCCTAATACGGTAATGCAGCATGTAATAACGCTTACCACAACCGCAACTCCTGTCTCGCAGAATTTAGGAATGGTAATTAGTTGCGTCAGTTGCCCTTCTGGTCCTGTGTGCAAAAGAATGAGTAATCTATCTTACACTTCGTATATAGGAGTGTCGAATGACAAATACTTCAAGAATTCAGGTAATATTAAAAAGATTGCACAGTCAAAGGATTACCTTTAACTAAACGGCTTCCAAACATATCCTGATTGCCGACAAAGTAAACATGAGGACAACTCTCAATTACAAAAGGATCCCTGTCTGTAAATGGATAACACCCTAAAAATTCCAAAGAAAAAATTGTTTATCAAGATTATAGGAAGGAAAGGGCTGATGCTTTGGAATTCCAACAGTAAAGCAACTTAATTACAATTGAAAAATTTCATCCCCAGAACAAAAATAACATCCATCTATAATAATAATTTATTATAACAGGAATATTTGGAAGGAATTTAGAGTTCATGTGTCTTCAATTTGTTTTTCTTTTCTTTCTTTTTTTTCACATAGGTTATTTTGTTTCAAACTTCATGCCTCTTCAACTTGAATAGTTATCATGGCCCTTCAATGGCATCAATACGAATAGTTATAATTCCACTTCATCTTCCAATTTCATACAATAATCATATCCCTTAATATAATTCTCTTTCCATTCAATAATTTACTACCACAAATATTCCCATATCATATTTCTAAGCACGAAATGTAAATTTTTTTATTTTATATTCAAATATTATAACTTATTTACCAATTTTGACAAGTCTTTTAAAGCAAGAAACAAAATATAGATACTCGTCTGGTCACTTTATTAAGCTATAAGAAAACAATTCACTTTCTACAAAACTAAATTTGTACATTGCACAGGGTCAAAAAACTAGTTTGATTTCCAAAACCCAATTGCCAATGATTGTAAGCATACTAGTAGTAGTTGCTGTTAATTTTAGTTGTCTGCTACTCTATTCAGACTGTTCACAAACAATTACTTGGTTCCTATCTCCCCAGCACAGAGAACTTTCAATTTAAAAAGAAGATAAAAAAGAATAGAACTACTTTCACCTAGAGTGTTAGGTGCAGACGGCGCAAGATGCCTCCATCTCAACGTTCTTTCCAAGAAATCAAGTTTATCTTTAGCTTCTGAATACTTATCAAGATCATCAATATTCTGGCCTGATGTCCCAACAAATCTAAAAGATGTAGCCCACTCAGTACACATCCGATTCAGAAACAGATGAAAATGAACAAAAGGCCAAATATTACCTGATACTGTCAAGCTCAAAAGAATGAGGATTTGTACAAGATCTGAAGGTGTTATAAACTGAAGACCCGGGAAAGAGGCATCTATTTAAAGGCTGAAACAAAAAGTCAAGACAAAATCAAAGGCTACCAAATGTTGCACTAGCCCGAACATCAAACTCATATTTAGAAAAAACACCTGCTGTGGTAGATAAAAATTTGCAGGATCATTTGGCCCTGGCATGATATCCAGAGGTACACCAGCAGCAATCTGCAAATAAAAATTACAGGCCACATTGACCTCAGCATTCTCCATAAGAGAAAAGGAAATAAGAAACAAAACAAATTCCCTCACTGAGCAGATGTAAGAACCTGAGTCAGCAAGATATCCAGTTCTCTAAATGGTTCAGAAAGCTTAGATTGATCCTTTGATCCCAAGTTCTGCAGAAACAAACAAAATCTAAAAGGTCCCATTTTTTTCAAGAATATGTGTATAAGTATTTAACCTCGTCCTTCCCCCCCCCCCCCCCCCCACACCCCAAGCATCGTAACAAAAATGAATAAACAAACAAAAACAATAGTTACCCATTATTATATAACAGAATTTCACAGTAATGAAGAGAAACATAATCATCAGAAATATGACTAACATGTCACTGACTTTCTTCCGCCATTCTTTTTAAGTTGACACATTTCTTTTATCTTATTTGCCAATGCACATGTTCAACGACTAATATCGCTAGTTATCAATAAGTTAAAAAGTATATTTTGAAAATAAAATATTGATCCAACATGACTATGATTTATCATAACTATAAATCATAGAAGCTAGTCAAAAGTAGAATTTGTCAATAGAATCAGAACTCAACATGTGTCAACTAAAAAAGAACAAAGGAAGTATTACTTATTTCCAGAACCCAGAGACATGCCAAATATTACCAAACATGTAAAAGCAAAAAGCTACAGAGTAAACAAACCATGATATATGATAATATGAAGCAAAAAACTTCACTGATAATATAATACAAAATAACAAGTTACCTGTCCATTAAATAGTCCTCTGGCAAATTCTACAGAATTTCCAGCAATTACTACATGGACTATCTCTGCAGCGATTCTCTGCTCCTGCAAAGATTTAAAAGCAATAGTTAGTTGCGACTCTACAACAATAGTTGATGCAGGATAAGGTACAAAAGAATAAGACATTTTCATCCCCTAGATGGCCAGTTATATGATCCACAAGCAGCTGGAACTGGAGAGGATTTGACGTGCTATTTCCAACACTTAAGCCTGACATGAAGACGACATACTTGTCATCACCTGCGAACAGATAAACCCAAGGAGATTAAGACTTTAAAATAAAGAGAGGGAGAGAGAGTGAGAGAGATTTAATGCAGCAGATACACATAATTCTCATGATATATTATATAGGGGGCGGCACTAATGAGTTGCAGGTAAAAAGGCAAGAAGTTAAGATGATAACATCTCTGGACTTTATGCATCTGTCTAAAACCTCGAACATGAGTCCTAAGGAATGAGAAATGCACAGACAACCTGAATCTTGAAAAAACAGCAAATTAAACACACATTTCTACAACCCATCTTTCTCCAGTGATGTTTACTTCTTCATGGCCATCAAAATCTTAACCCTAAACCATAGCTTCACCAAAGATTCAACACCCTTGTAAAAGCAAGAGGTGATAGAGAATATAGATAACCCTCTATAAAAATTAAGGATGAGACCCAAATGAGGCTCTAAAGAAGAGCTTCCAACAACCATGATCCAACTCCTCAAGTACCCTAGCCTCACAGTTGGATTAGCCTTTGGACCCTCTGTTTACTCTTTATCTCAACAATAAGAATTATGTTTGGCCAAGTTTCTGGAAAACAGTTTCTACTTCCTCTGGAAAACAGTTTCTACTTCCTAGAAGCACTCTTCAAGAAACTGCTGTTACAGAATCATATAGGTAATTGGCCTGTTGTGGCCATATTATTTTAGAAGTATTTGTAATAAACTAAAAAAGTTGGTCCATTCGGGAGGCTACAAAAATCATGATATTGTCAACCATTGAGATAAATATAATAGCGATAATTAAATTCCAAAGCTTTTTAAGAATAAGAAAGAAGATGAATAAGTTCAACCCAAAAATAGAAAACAAAAAAGGTAAAGAGTGGAATACTGTAGCAAATTAGCGAATCCCAAAAGAACAAGTATAATCAATAAACGTCATAGATTGCATTAAATTGAATATATTTATTATTTATAAACCATTAAATCAACGACGAGTTGACGACCATATAGAAGAAGCTTAGAACAAGAAAACAAATAAGATATCATAACAATATATTGACACTGTGTTTGGATAGAGAAAAAGGAAGGAAAAGAAGGGGAGGGAGGGGAAGGGGTGGGAAGGGAAGAATGATGAGTTTTCCTTCACAATCTCTCCATTACTGGAGAGATTAATTTCTTACATTTTAATCCCTCCATTTGTCTCCCCTCTAATTCCCTTCCTTCCTCATTTGCTATCCAAATGAAACCTTTATTTTCCTTCCCTCCCTTTCCCTCCATTTCCTTCAATCCAAACAATGCATGAGTCCAAGCTTTAGAATTTGAAAGAAGATGAACCAGAATAAGTTCAACCAAAAAAGAAAACAAAAAAGGGATAATTAAATACAAAAGAACAAGTATAATAATCAGTGAAGTATAACCGGCACTTCCACCACACAACCACCAAGCCCATTTAACAACCACTGGTATCCTCCTTTGCTTCCTTTACCAAATCAAACTACACAGCCTAGCTCAAATATATCCAGTATCGAAAGTAGCCACCCTCATCGACAAGGCCATGGGAAAATTGACGGATAAAACCTCATAGAAAAATAGATCGGAGGTGACTAAAGGAACGAAGAGGTCAGGAGAAAATGAAGCTAACCCATCACCAGCATACCAAATCCGGTGACATCGATGTTGTCATATTCATGCAAATATTGGAGATGCATTTTGGGTAATGTTACCTAAAACATTCTAAAAACAGCGGTACAAGAATGGGAACGTGGAATGTAGCCTCCAAAGTTCCTGAAGCGTAGGGGTTTCTATTGTTTGTTGACTTAAATTTCATAATCAAATATATCTAGTATCGAAAGTAGCCACCCTCATCGACAAGGCCAAGGGAAAATTGACGGATAAAACCTCATAGAAAAATAGATCGAAGGTGACTAAAGGAACGAAGAGGTCAGGAGAAAATGAAGCTAACCCATCACCAGCATACCAAATCCGGTGACATCGATGTTGTCATATTCATGCAAATATTGGAGATGCATTTTGGGCAATGTTACCTAAAACATTCTAAAAAAAGCAGTACAAGAATGGGAACGTGAAATGTAGCCTCCAAAGTTCCTGAAGTGTAGGGGTTTCTATTTTTTGTTGACTTAAATTTCATAATTAATAAAATCTAAGCAATAAAATAAAATAACTCATACATTCTGAATTCCAATGTTCTGAATTCAATTAATGGTCAAATTGCTTCCTCAGTAAATATTACACAAAAACTAAAATAATTTTTTTTTAAAAAAAACATAAAAATCAGCCATGCAACATCCTTGTCTCATGAAGATCTTCCTCAAATTTCTCATTGGAGAACCCCCTTCTTTGTCTTGGAGCTATTCTCTCCACCCCACCAGTTGCAACAGAGTTCAAATAGGTCAATAGGTGAAAGTGAAACCTAGACGATGCATAGGAATATTCATCTTTTCCTACCTCATCAATGCAAATTTATTGTTATCATATAAAAAGTAAAAAAATAAAAAAACAATAAACATGCAAAAGATAAAGAATAGATGCAAAATATTTGATTGATAAGTGGAAAAACTTGAATACTCATGCATTGTGTAGGTTTTGCCCTCAAACCCTTCTCTTATGACTCGACTTAAATTAACTTAACCTAGTGGAGTTGAGAGAAGTGCACTGACAAAGAATAAATAAATAAAGTAAATATAAAAAAAAAAACAATAAACATGCAAAAGATAAAGAATAAATGCAAAATATTTGATTGATAAGTGGAAAAACTAGAATACTCATATGCATTGTGTAGGTTTTGCTCTCAACCCCTTCTCTTATGAATCGACTTAAATTAACTTAACCTAGTGGCGTTGAGAGAAGAGCTCCAAGTCTTGATAAAGAATAAATAAATAAATAAAATAAAATACAATAAACATGCAAAAGATAAAGAATATGCAAAATATTTGATTGATAAATGGAAAAACTTGAATACTCATATGCATTGTGTAGGTTTTGCTCTCAACCCTTTCTCTTATGACTCGACTTAAATTAACTTAACCTAGTGGAGTTGAGAGAAGAGCTCCAAGTCTTGACAAAGAAGTGGATGGGGTTCTACAAGCATTTGAGAAATTTGGAGAGGAGAATGTGTGAGCTAATAGCTAGATCTCATGGGAAAGAAAGGATTTTTGGGACACAAGCTTCTAAAATAGATGTTGTGAATGTCACCGATTGTTTGGTGATCTACATATGGTTCTACAACTCCAGAATCAGCCGAAAGTGTGGTTAAGCTTTATCGCAGCCCATTACTAGTTCATAGCAAATTTAGAGCATTTATTCTTACATTGACAATGTTAAGAGAAACCAACTCAATGCTCCTCGTGTCAGCAAGTTAGTCTTTATTCACTCCAACTTAAGACTTATATCCCACTTCACAACAACAAATTAACTGACCCTTATAGGATGTGATATATAGACCATGAGAGCTCTTGCAATGAAGATTCCATAATGAGATTGAATGGCTTAAGGTGGGTGGTCATTGGGGATGAAACTAATGAGACAATTTAAATTCTGTTATGAAATTTTTTTGTGTAATATGTGAGGATAGAATAAGGAGTTACATTGTTAGATGAAATCATAGTATTAAAATAAGAAGGTATGAATTATTTTGTATCATGATATGAATATAACTAAAACAAAATTCAAATGAAGACAACAAAAGAAAAAAAAAAAAAAAAAAAACCCTATGTTCTAGGAACTCTAGAGATTGCAATCCACATTCGCGTTCCCGTACCACGTTCTGGAGAAAGTTCTTTGTCCTCAGCTCTTGATGGGATTAATGCCTTAGTACGGGAAAATTTTGTCCATATTATCAGTCAATATCTATGGTAGAATTAGAATAGGTTTGTTGAGTAATTTCCTCATGAATTAAGAATGGGCATTGATTATCTTACTACTTTCTACGGGGGGAAAAAAAAAAAAAAAAAGAAAAAAAAGGCTATAGATTAAAGACTATGCCTATAAATCTCTACTAGTGGAACTATACAAGATTGATTTGGACTTCATTGCATCAAGGTTGTACAAAGTAACAACAAACATTTTAAGGCATTATTTAAAATGGGCATCGATTATCCCCCTACTTTCTACCTGAAAAAAGACTACAGATTGAAGACTATGCTATAAATCTCTACTGGTGCGAACTATGCAATATTAATTTGGACCTCAATACACCAAAGTTGTATAAAGTAACAACAAGACAATTTAAGGCACGTGAACTGTTCCATGTTAGGGTTCTTGAGTTGGATACATCTTTCTTTATTACATATGTGTATGGTTGATTCTGATTTTAGTTGTATATGTTGTATGACTAACAATTAGCATATTTGTTTCTCTTTAAAAAAAAAACGAAAAATATATATAATATTGAGAGAGCCAGAAAAGGGGTACATAGTGTGAGCTATGCGGATTGTTTATGATGCAAGTTTTATCCTCCAACCCATTGCCTTATATAATACATAGAACACCCCCCCCCCCCTTTCACAAACCAAAAAAATAAATAATAGCACTTTTCCTAAATACTATTCCACAAACATCAATAACATGGAACTAAATCCAAAAAATCTAATTATAAAATTTCCTTAGCAACTACAGTATACATCTAATGAAGGACAAGATGGCCACTCCATATAGTAACTACACAACGCAAAGATTGGAAGAGCATCAAGTGACATTACCAAGCTTTAAAGGCTTCTCTATTTGGGGTGGTAGGCCAGCTTCAAGGATATCATGAACCAGAAACGACCCAGCTCCACTTTCTTTTCCAAGGAAGGCAACCACAACCCCTGTCAAATGGCAATAGTGCAACACTGTCACGAGCAATACTTATAGCTATTCATATAAATGCCAAAAGGTTTGGCTTACAAGTGACCAGACATAAAAGATGGTAAAGCAAGAAGGAATAAGGTGGAATCGTAATCGCATCCAGTGATTAATGTTAGTTGGCATTTCCTACATTTAATGCAAAGGCCAATAGAAAGCCATGTATTATCAGGATAAAAGTTTACTAGTATACAACCCAACCATTTAAAACAATTGCAGCATAGTTGCCCTTATCAGTTATAATGATGAGCAGTATTTTCACACCCTGACAGACGAATGTTATTAACCATGAATACATCAAAGTTGAGAGAAATATATAAAAAAAATGGAACAAGCACTCTGTTAACAATTAAGAAACCGCCTTCTTAATCTTTTGGGGACCAGAGAGAGCACAGGAAGTGTTTAATAAAGAAGGCTAACTTAGATTTTCAATTAATATTGATTTCATAAATAATGTAAAACAATATCATTTCCAGCATCCTCTTTCTAAGGTATAACAAATATAAACTGTTAAAACTTAAAAGCTATTGAAATAATCATAAAGCTATCCTGCATAATTTCTGCCAATAAATACATAAAAGTATAAATAAAAAATTTCAGTGAGTAATTTCTTATATATCCCCTTTTAGGCTTTTACTAAAATATGCATCCTCTGAGATTAAAGTCACACCAGAGAAAAGATATATTCTAACAAACCAGCCAGATTAATGCTCCTAAATCCTAATATGGAATTTTTGTGTCCTATAACTAAAATTTATCTAATACTCTTTCTAACTAGCTGAATTTTCGTCGCTATAGGTAAATTAAAGAATAAATATAAAAAATAAGTAAACATAAAGTACCTGTCACATAAACAGAAGGAAATAGTGAAATTCCCTCGAGCTTCACTCTTCCACTTTCATCCTCTAGAATCAGGTGATCATCAGGATGCACAAAATTGTGCGGCTTGACCAGAGGAGTCACAGACCTCTATTTGTTGATAAAGAAAAGAAAGAAAGAATGGCAAACGGAGAAAAAATTTAGAACAAACAATGTCTCTAGACATTAATTAGATATTTTAGCAATCAAAGTTAGACAAAAATGATATGTATTTCATAGCAACCTCCTTACCTCCTTAGCATACTCATCAAGTATACAGGGTTTGAGTTTCATGTGCTTGTAGAGTGTTCCAACAACGATACATTCCTTGTTCTCTTCCAAACCCAAAATCGTACAAACTACAAAAAAAAAAATTCCTCAAAGCTATAAGAGATTCCCCCCATGTACTTGTGGTTTTGAATTAATTAATGTCCGACTCTAGTTTGACCACAACAATTACCAAAACAAAATGAATGTGCACAACTAGAAAGCTGGCATCATAATTCAGCAACAAAATACAGCAAATAAAATTCATTGGATAGACAAAGAGAAGACCAAAGTCATTGAACAGCATTTGTAAGATAGTAAGCATGCATCGATCAAATATAACAATATCAAAGAAATCTCTCTTAATACACAGCAAAACAATGACATAAGGTAGCAGAAATTAAGCATGCCCATGAGTATTGATCAACTACCTTTCCTCCAGAAATTCAAAAATAAACGATTACGGATTATAAACACTTAAATGATGTGATCACAACCAGCAGGTAAGGTTTCCAGAACAGACGATCAATCCACAATGCGGATCAAAAGGGACACTTGAAAGTCATAACTAATGATCCTAAAGTTGTTAACATTCTCAAAACCCTAAACCCTACTTCAAATTAAATTCTTGTCAAATACCCAATAATTAAGACAATCACTACCTAATAACTCCAGAAACTTTACTGTTTCTCCAACCTAAAACATAATAAACCACCCCCCCCCCACCCCCAAAACCCACCCAGCAAAAAGGCTATGTTATAAACCCCAAAATTAACTAAAATTATACTCAAATTGAACCACAATTACAAAACCAGTAAAATTCGATAAAACCCAAATATTAAAATAAACCAAATTTTGTATGCATTACACTCAACTTACAAAAACAAACTAAAAACACCCCAAATAATGAAATAAGTATAAAGGGTATAGCCCAAAATCGATTATTTCGAAAATTGAACGAATAATAAAACTAAAAATTAAAAATCAAACAAAACCCATATGATAAAATGACCCAAATTCAATGATATTATACTCAAAAGTCCCAAAAAAACCAAAAATTGGGAAACAAACCAGGAATGTGGGGTTTCCAGTGAGGAACAAGAGAATAAAGAAGAGTCCTCAACATATGAAGCCTCGCAAAGTAAATTTGACTGTATTGTTGTCCCTTATACACTTCATTTCGTACCATAAAGACCTCATCCTGCAAATTATTCCCAGAATACATTCAGAACAATAATAATGTTGGATTAAATTGCAAAATTCATTGAAAAAATAATTATAATAATGCTAATAGAGAAGAACTAATCATGGGTTTGAAAAAAAGTATGAGACTGAGGAGAGAGAAAGAGACCAAGTTACGGTAGTGAGAGTGCTTGCGTTGGAGGATCTGCTCGCCGTCGATTTCCATGGCGGGAAAACAATGAACACTGCGCTTCAGACTCGGACTTCTAAAGTCCAAACGTGGTGGAGTAACTTTTAAATTGGTTTTTTTTTTTTTTTAACAAAAAAAAAAAAATTGCCGGGAATAATTCGATATTTGTCTCATGTGTTCAAAATAACCCCACATTTCAATTATTTTTTAATAATCCGACATTTATACCCAATCCGCTTTCAATGGTCCCAACCGTTCAAATAACTTGTTAAAACAAGTTATTTGACACGTGTCGGCTTGTGATTAATTAAAAAAATAAAAATAAAATAAAAAAAGTTTAAGTTTTTTTTAAGAAAAAAATAAGTAATTCTTTTAAAAAAAAACACCCCTAGCCCAAGCCACCCTCCACGTCGCCCATTCCCGGCAGCTGGGCCGGCCGGAATCCCCTGCCACACAGCACTGACCACCCAGACCCACTCCCAGGTGCCGACGCCTTCCCCCCCCCTACAAAAAAAAACCACCAACCTCCTCCTTCTGCCACAAAAACCCACCAGAATCATCCCCCACCCTCAAAAACCTCCTTCTCTGTCCCGATCCTGGCCCCTTCCCTTTCCCTAGTTTCGATGCCGGCACCTTTCCCCTTCCCCGTCCCGATTCCGACACAACCTCCTTTCCCTTTCCCCGGCTTGAGTTCGACCTCCCTTACATTACCCCACCACGATTTCGACCTCCTACACTTTCCCCGCCTTGATTTCGGCCGCCCAGACCACCCAAAATAGTGTCGACGACGACGCATCTTGCCCCACGAGCTCCGTTCTCACAGTTACTGCAGTTTGGCGAATATTGCGGTGGCTGGGGCTGGTGGAGGGGGTGGCTGCCAGTTTTTTTTTTTTTTTTTTTTTTAAATTCAATTTTTTTTTATTTAAAATTTTAGACAAATTATATAGTGACACGTGTACTTTAAACCAAAAAAAAAAAAAACCTGTTTAACTAGTAATCGGTCACATGGGACTATTGGGAGCGGATTGAGTTTAAAGGTTGGATTATTAAATAATTATCAAAAGGTGGGATTATTTTGGGCGGATGAGGAAAAGTCGAATTATTTCCGACAATTTTTCCTTTTTTCGGTTGAGAGTGTTAGTTTGGATTGAGGGAAATGTATTACTCCCTCCGTCCTCAAATAGTTTCTGTTTTTCTTTTTTGGTACCCCAAAAATCCAAAATGATGTTCCTGTTAAAATTTTTACCGATAGTAGGGGATTATCAGTGATTATATAAAGATTGAAAGTAGTATGATAGAAGCTTTTTGTTTTTTAGACACACTAGGTCACAATACGTGAACTTCTCTTATATAGCCAAAATTATGGAATATAATAGTATACATTATTGTACTATATGTAAATTATTGTACTAGGTAAAATTGCATTAACCGGTTAAAACTACATGCATATGAACTTCAATCATCTTTGTATTTTTCTCAACACTCCCCCTTTGAACGTTCAAAACCTTGCTAGGTAAAACCCTATGAGATAAAAACCATAGCTAGGTAAAAAGAGTACAAAGATATTGTATTATATGCTTTGGTATACTGCCTCGTTAAAAACCTTGTCAGGAAACTTATTTCAGCATAGTTCACGAAGATGTCGCATTCCAATTTTGTGAACTAATTGCTCAAATTTCTTCGAAGGAAGTGATTTAGTGAATAGGTCGGCAAGGTTGTCACAAGATTGAATTTGCTAGATATATATTTCCTCATCTTTTTGCAGATCATGTGTGAAGAATAGTTTTGGGGATATATGTGTTTGTTCTATCTCCCTTAATATATCCTTCAGTTACTTGAGAAATGCGTGATGTGTTGTCTTCAAAGATGATGGTTGGATGTTCATTTATCGTGTTCATTCCACATTCTTCTTGGATATTACTGATCATTGGCCTTAGCCATACACATTCTCGTCCTGCTTCATAAAAAGCTATCAACTCTGCAGGATTCGAAGTTGTTGCGGTCAATGTCTGCTTCGTTGATTTCCATGATATTGCAGTGCCGCCATAAGTGAACAAATACCCAGTTTGTGACTTGGCATTATGTGGATCTAATAAGTATCCAGCGTCTACATACCCAACGAGAGAAACATCTTGTTTTGGTTGATAATATAAACCAAGGTCTAGCTTGTGTCCCTTGTAGGTACCGGAGTAAGTGTCGAACTCCCTTCCAATGTCTATATGTCGGTGCTTTGTTGTACCTGGGGCTATGTCGGGTCTAGTGTTGTTAGCTAAGTACATTAAGGCTCCAATTGCACTTAAGTATGGAACTTCTAGACCCAGAATTTCTTCATTTTCCTCCCGGGGTCTAAATGGATAGTTTTTCATATTCAAAGAACGAACAACCATTGAGAAGTTGATTGGAGTTGCTTTATCCATGAAAAATCTTTTCAAAACTTTTTGTGTATAGTTTGATTGATGAACAAAGATACCATGACTCAAGTGCTCAATTTGCAATCCAAGGCAAAATTTAGTTTTTCCAAGGTCTTTCACCTCAAATTCTTTCATCAAGTATTTTGCAGTTTTCTCAAGTTCATTTGGGGTTCCTATGATATTCAGATCATCAAACATAAACTGCAATAATAGCGACTCCTGATTGTGATCGCATAATGAAAACACAGGGACTAATTTGATTGTTCTTGAACCCTTCTCTTATAAGGTATTCATTGAGACGGTTATACCACATCCTCCCAGATTGTTTTAATCCATAAAGTGATCTTTTTAGTTTTATGGAAAAGCAATTGTCTAGGCATGTGGTTTTCTGGTAGTTTTAGGCCTTTGGGGACTTTCATTTTAATGTCTGTATCGAGTGACCCATACAAATATATATGTAGTCACTACATCCATTAATCGCATTTGCAGTCCTTTTGTGGTTGTCAAACTCACCTCCATTTTATTAAAAAAAGGGGGAAATCAAAAAAGAAATTAGGGTTTGATTGAGGAGAGAAATTAAACCCACAATAAATTGAAGAACCCTAACAATTTACTAATTCACATACAACAAATCAGACATCAGTTAAAACTATTTAATTACCTATTGTTCGAAATAGTGGTTAGAATACCCTAAACATTTAGATTAGAGAGAGAGGTTGTGCGATTTTAGAACCGTAGGTAGTTGTAAATCGATGAAATCGCCAAACCTTAGACGATGAATAATAACAACAACATTAGTGAGGAAATCTCTTCACACTTTTGAATATCAACACAGCAAATAAATGATTGATTCACAAGAATTAAAACCCCTAAAGTTCATCAGAGTTGATTGAGAGATGAGAGAGAAAGAGAGATGGAGAAAAGAGAAAGGTATCTAGCCACCTAAACGCACCATACTTTGTTTCATAAATCATATATAATTTGAATCAATTTAATTCAATCACCAATAAAATCATATAAAATATGCTATTCAAACCAATCACTTTCGAAGGTATCTAGCCACCCAAACGTACCTTGATTTCGAATATCAATCAACACTTCGCACTTTCAAAGTTCAATCACGAATACACCTTGCAATTAACATAACCATAAGGTTATCACAACATCTTTAAACATAAACCCAAATATAATGTGCATGGACTCTTTTAAAAATAATACTTTAATATAAAATTATAGCTTTGAAATAAGTATTTATATTTTAGAAAACTTACCATGAATAAAATAAAGGAATAAGATTAAAGAGAATTGGATTGCGTTGGAAATAATAGACAGAACTTGCAGAGGCCATAACTGTGAAATAGAAAAACCCCAAAACTGACCAGAAGTGCCCGAAAATTGGCTCCAAAGATATACGGGCTGATTATGTATGAAAAGAGTAGAAAGAAAAGTATGAAAAGGTTTAGGGAAAAGAAGAGTAAGAGAGAAGAAGAGAATTGATTTTTTTTGGTGTGAAGAATATGAGAGGTATGAGGGGGTATTTATATGCTAGCTCATGCAAGAATTATGGTAGGAGAATGTAGGAAGAATTATGGTAAATTGATTTAAGGAAATTACTTGGAGGGAACTAAAGAATTATGGAAATTCTAGGTTATGGTGATTAAGTAATGAAGAAATAAGGTAAGTATGTAGTCATGAAATATTAAATGGTAAGTGGCTTTGCTTGGGGAATAATCAAGAATGATTTAAGGTAGGGAAATAAGATGATCAAATATTTAGGAGATGGAAAATAAGAATTAAGGAAAATAATAGAATTGAGAAAGATAATTAAAATAACAAAATTATCAAAATAATTTTGCTCAAAATACAATATGGTGGCCGAAAATTTGAGCTTTCCTAAGCTTATATTTTCGAACCTCCCTTTAAATATTAAGGTAATTATTTTGCTAGTTTTTAAGGAATAAAAATGTTTGTGTAAATAATATATTTTGTATAAAATAATTAATTAGAAAAATACCAATTATTCACTATTTAATTTAACTAATAAAATCAGATTTTCTACTCTTAGAAAATCCAAAAATCCTAGCTAATTAATTAGGGAAATTTGGCCCTTTTGAATTAAATATAATTTTGCTTAATTAAAATGTTCGAAATATATATAAATAATTCGGTTTTTAAAATAAAATAAATGGGTAATTCAAAATCCAAAAAAAATTAAGTTTTAAAATACTTTTGGCGCCAAAATTCAAATATCATTTTAGCTCCAAAATTCAAATAGTAAAATAAATTACTAAAATACCCTTTTTAGAAAATAATAATTAATTAATTAATTAGAAAATACGTTTCAAAAATACGGGGTATTATATTTTCACCAAGTGTCGTGCCACGTAGATGACATATAAGATTTAATATGACATCTCTGACGCTAGATAAGTGAATTTAAGATATATTTTTTTGGATAAAAAAAAAGGTAATTAGAGTTTTATTTCTAATATAACTTTTAATTTTTCATATGAATAAAATAGATTGTAAGGAAATATCTTATAGATATGTTATTTATATATCATAAAATTTATTTTAAAAAATTTAAACATATCATTTATGATATATATTTATGATATATTTTAATCAACTAAAACAAGATATCAAAATTTGGCATTTCAGCTTTTCGCCAAGTGTCATGTCATGTAGACAACACATAAGAAGTAGTGTGACACGCATGATACTAAGTTAGCGAAAATATTTTATATGTATAAATAATAATAACTTTAAAATAATAATATGTTATAAACTGTTATATTTACATCATAAATTTTGTTCTAAAAATTAGTTCAAAACACGTTCAATTTATGATACATTTAAATCATTTTAAAATAAAACCTCACAAACTAACATGAAAATAGGTGCAACTCCAAACTAATTTGTTTTTATTGCTTTTGAGTTTTGACCATGCTTGCGACTTGCGTCACTTTCAAGTTTCAAGAACTTCCGGATAGCCCAAGCTCTTTCTCAAAACCACCACAAGTTTATGAGCGGTAATTATTATACATGTTTGTATTAATGATATGTATTAAAATTTAAGATACAGATACATTTAAAGTTTATCTTTAAGTTTTAATAAACAACCTAGACATCGTTCGGGGCACAAAACTAGTGTATATATATTGCTATATTTTTATTGTTGGATGGAAGAACTATAAGTAATGAAACAAAAAGACGGCTAAAATTTTAGCTTATGATATACTTGTACAAAGTACTTTGTACATAATAATTTCATATAAAAATAAGGCCTGTTGGATAAAATTTGCCTTTTAAACAGTGGAATGGGCGGTTTGAATTTCAATTTTTTAGCCAAAACAAAGATAATTTAGTTAGAAATTTGTCAATACTTAACAGCTCAGATTGCGTTAGTTGCCACATAACAATTTGTATTAAAAGTTGACTTTGGATATCGCAGTTGACTTATTTAATTAAAATATTTGAAAAATCGCTAACCAACTGCAAAGTGTTATTTTCTTCATTAAAAAAATCATAGTAGTGGACGTCATAAAATATAAGTATTAAATGGATTTAAAACATTAACATCAACAATTAATTAATAATAAACAGAATGTAGTTGAGTTAAAAATTGATTGGCCTTTTTCTTTGTTAACTAATTACAATAATATAGAATCTTTGACCATATGGCGTTATGGCCTACTGCATTGTGGCATAAGATGGACATACGTAGCCAATAAATTTGAAGTTATTACTCCGTATATTATAATTTGTTGGAGCCATTTAACCTTTTCCTTAATCCCTTGCAAGATTCTAAGTAATTTAGCCGTTTCTTTGTTAATCCCTTTTGTTTTTTTTGGCTATACTTTAATGTACGTATGGTAATGTACGGGATAAAAATTACCCCTTATGCAAATGTGA